CACACACACACACACACACACACACACACACACACACACACACACACACACACACACACACGACAAAAGAGGGAGGAGAGTGAAAGACGGAGAAAGAAAGAGAAAAGAGGGGGTGATAACAGCTTCAATAAATCATCCGGGGCCAGCCGCTGCTCCCGGGGGACTCGGGATGGATTAAATTAAGCACTCCATCCACCCGTGTGTCCATCCATCCATCCACCCGTGTGTCCATCCATCCATCCATCCCTCCCTCCTCAGCCTCTCTCTCTCCTTCTGTTGCGCGCGCACTGCGCCGTATAAAAGCCAACAGCTGATCGCGAGACGGCACACTCACGAGATCAGCTCCGAGCTGCAGAGAGAGAGAGAGAGAGAGAGAGAGAGAGAGAGAGAGAGAGAGAGAGAGAGAGAGAGAGAGAGAGAAGAGGGGAAGCTGTTGATCCATCCGGACTCTTTTTGAGACCACCTGAGTCATTAACCGGAACAAGAAGGACTATACTTTGGAGAAGAGGACTTGAAAGAATAATAACAAAAAACAAACAAAAAGAGCTTTTATTTTTATTTTTCCTAACCTCTTATTTACCCCCTCTTCCTCCTCCATCAGTTTTTTCTCTCCTGTTTTCAGTCTTTTCTGATGCTTTTGAATCATCCCCTCGCAGCTCAGAGAGCCTTCTGTCTTCCGTGTGTCCGCGAGCGCAGAAAGCACGAGGCACCCTCCCCCCTCCCCTCCCCCCTCCTCCACCTCAGCGGTGGGAGCTGTCCGGTGCTGAAGTTGCATTTTCTCCCTTTTTTTTCTCCCCCTCTGACAAGAACTGGACCGGGTCAGGCCGGCGCGGGGAGACTTTCTAAAGCCGGATCAGTTCTAGAGAGACCTCCTGAAGACAATCTTCTTCCGGTTGTGGTTCTGTGGACCCATCGGCACGCTGGACAAGCCTCCGCCTGTGTGTCGCGTTTGTGTGCCGTTGTGTGTGTGTGAGTGTGTGTGAGTGTGTCACCACCATGCCAAGGTCTTTCCTGGTGAAAAAGGTGAAACTGGATGATTTCTCCACCGGGGCGGATTTGGAGCACGCCTACCGGCACCGGACGGACCTCAGCCTGCGGTTGCATGACAAAGGTAGGTCACACAGGCTGCACGGCACGGCACGGCACGGCACGGCTCAGAGGACTAACAGGTGTCTGAGAGACAAATCGATTTCACTGAAGAGGAGGAGGGAGGAGAGGAAAACGACTAGTCTGCATTTATGAGACAAAGAGACTTGAAGCGTTTCCWGTTCTGTGACAGTTTGAACCGTTCAGGGTGGGACACTTTACACACAAATAACCTTCATTATTTCTCCACTTTTTGATGGATTTTGTCCCTTGAAACCCACCTGTGTTGTTAATTTACCACAAGAAGTGATCAGTTTTCACAAAACTCCCTCAGATTGTGGAGATCTTTCCAGATAAATTAAACCTAAACCTGGAGGTGACTTTTGTCCCTGATGCGATGACATGTAAAAGTGTTGTTTTGGGAAACTGAGAGCTAAAGATGGAGCTGCTCCTGCTTTTACTTCAGCCCACATTGATTCCTGCGGTTCTGTTTTCCCTGCCTCAGTAAATCTCTGACTCGTCTGCAGCCCGTCCAAACTGCAGCTGCCTCTGCATCCACTCAGCCCGGTTCAAGGTCCTGATCTGGACTTCTGCGTTTGAGATCTTACAGCTGCACCTCACCAGTTGGACTATGAGTGTCTGGAACTCTTTCATTGACAGATTTAAGTAAAAAAAAAAAAAGCAGCTTAAGACTCATTTTAACAGGAATTTGGGTAGCATCCCATTTGATCTGATTGCATTTTCACATCCATTTATTTCATCTTTGCATCACTTATTTTAAAAGGCACCACACAAATAAATCCACTTACTTCCATCAGACAGCAGTATATCGGAGTGGAGATGCTCAGAACAGACTGGAACTGAATGGGAAGAAGTCAGACTTTGACTTGGACAGTAAAACACAGAGGACCTGTCAGTCTGACAAAGCAAAGCACCACAGGGATTTCTTACAGCATTATTTAAGAGCCATTTGGACTGTTTAAAAATCAACAGCCGCTCATTTTTTACCCAATATTTGGTCTGTTGTACTAAATCACGAGCCTCAAAAATGTTTATTTTTACATTTTTTATAACAAATATATATAAAGCTGTGTTATACAGAGTTAACCTCTGCATGTTGTGAGGTTTGAGATAAACAAGTTTCCTCCTCACAGGTTGCAGAAAATCTAACTAAAAGTTATGCTGACTGGAATTCTTTTATAATGAATCTTTTAATCCAACGTACCACTCCCACTGGTGCTGCACAAACGGCCTTGCATTTCCTTTAACCCCCAGCTATTACACCCTAAAATGCCCAATTTAAATGAATGACAGGCTGCAAAAACATTACAATCTGACTGTTTGTGGTTATTTATTAAACTGAAGCTTTTACAGTTGACACACTGCATGAGCCTTTTTAGGTGTTTCTGGATTTTTGCAGTGTCGGCAGTTCTTATAATTAATTCTTATTGTGTGCTCACAGTATTTACCCCTAATGTTAAAATGTTGCATGAAAATGAAACAGAATTTAAAAGACATGCCTGATAGTCTGGTTTATTGCATAAGACATACAGACAATATAGTTATTTTTGTTTTTAACTACGACTGACTAGATTATCATGTCTTTAAAGATTATTTAACTCACGCACCGTTTGCTCTGTTTTCACCTGCGTGTCATTGACCCACCGCCGCACACAAACAATGCGTGTATACTGTGCAGGAAATCAGGTAAAGCAAATGAGTTATGATGTCGATGTGAACAAACACTGTTGAWATGAGCAGCGTTGTGTAACGCAGTCACCTTTTAGTTTCCATCTACACAACAGCTGAGGTTAGCAGCTCGGAGCAGCTTCTTCCTACCCTCACATCAGAACGACGCAGGATTTTAGAGACAACTTTCTGCATGAGCGAACTGCTGTTTAGAGTCATGTTCACCCATGTTGTGTGTGTGTGTGTGTGTGTGTGTGTGTGTGTGTGTGTGTGAGGGCACTCACATGGGACTGTGGAGTAGAGATGAATGAATGTAAACACATATGTGCGCCACATGGGATTTGTTGCTTGTGATGCGTCTTGTGAAATGGAAGAAGAAAATCTACACAACCAGCCTGTATTTTCATTTTATTTTTACCTTTTATGTTGTGTTGTTTTCCTAGAATTAGTGAATGGTTTTGAAAGAGGTATTACAAAAGGCCAAAATTCAAAATGTAATTATATGTTGACCTTATTTAAACAAAACAAATCCCATGTGCATATAGGTCCAATGCATTAATTTTTTACTCAGGTATATGGGAATCAAATACAAAAAGCATGCAATGTTTTTTTTATTATTTAAAAGCAGTGGTGGGCACCAGCTCGCTAAAGCACAAACCCACTAATTGCAGACCTAAATATTTTGTTTGCGCTTTAGCTGTCTTACWAATTTTTATATTTCATAAGCGGATTTGCGCTTTCTAAAATTAAAATGCAGTACCGCT